TTATTGCTCTAATTCTTGTTATTTTCAGTTTTCTCTTCTTTTTTACTTAATTATTTTAAATTTTTGATATACAATTTATATAAATAATATTATATAAAATTTTTACTAATTAATTAGCTCTATATTCTAAATATATATAAAAACATATAATTGAAACATATAAATATAAAAAGATAAACTAATATCATAATTAAAGTGTCATGAGATAGAATACACATTAAAACTTTATGTCCTAATATCATACATGGATAAGGGAAATTAGAAAATACATTGCAGAATATAGGTAAGTAAGGTAAAAAAACTACGGTTCTTGAATGGAACGTAACTTTTTACATGCTTCATCCCAAGACTTTTTTGTAAATGTAAGACGACCATGAGGAAAAATCTTTGTAATAGTTTCAGAAGACTCAGTAGGTGTAGAGGATGGGTCTGATCGGTAACGATTTGGGCAAACTTTTGCAGTATGACCCTCACGGTTACACAGTTGACAAGTTACTTTATATCGTTGCGGGCATATAGTAGCAATATGTCCAGAAATATCACATATTTGGCAAACAACATTGTCTTCATTTTTAGGCAATGGAATGTCTTGGGGGATTCCAATATGATTCCTTGATGTTGTCAACTTCTTTCTTAGAGGACTCCGAGATGGACAATCCCATAATGATTCAGGAGTATCCTCAACAATTCCTATGTAAATTAACATAAAATTAATATGTTAGTAAATGGTATGCACCAACATGAAATACAAAATTATGAGAGGGAAAAGGAAAAAGAAATTATACCATCATATTGGCTGTCTATGTATGGTTGACTGTCCAATTGGCTGTCAAAATAGGGTTGACTGTCCATTTGGCCGTCAAAATAGGGTTGACTGTCCATTTGGCTGTCAAAGTTTGGTTGACTGTCCATTTGACTGTCAAAATAGGATTGACTGTCCATTTGGCTGTCAAAGTTTGGTTGACTGTCCATTTGACTGTCAAAATAGGATTGACTGTCCATTTGGCTGTCAAAGTTTGGTTGATTGTCCATTTGGCTATCAAAGTTTGGTTGATTGTCCATTTGGCTGTCAAAATAAGATTGACTATCCGTTTTACTCTCAAAGTAATGCTGACAGTTCATTTTGCTTTAAAAATAATCCTGACTATCTATTTAGCACATATTAATTTTATAATCAATTAATTAATTAAATTAATCATAGTTTACTTAGTAATTAAATATGTAATTATAATTTAATTATTCAATCAACTATAATCATTATAATTAATTATGATTTAACTAACAATGTAATTAATTATAATTTACTTCACAATTAAAGCATATAATCATAATTCTTTACTCAATCAATTAATTAATTCAAAAATTAATATTTATCAATCAAGTAAATATTCTTTTCATAATTTTATAATGTATTTGATATATAAAAATTCAATATAAATATCATTTTAGTTCAATAATAATGCACATCTCAATTAATCTCAATAGCAATTTCTTAATAAAGCTAATTTGAAATAAATAACAAATTGACAACCATAAAAACTCAACATAAATATGACTCTACTTCAATAACCATAGATATTTAAACATCAATTTCAATATCAATCTCAACCTTAACCTCAAACACAATAATCCAAAATTTCTAACTTTGTATATACAAATTTACTAAAAACAACTTTTTAACTAAATACAAATCTCAATCTCAAATACTTGAAAAAAAATAATTGTAATTCACTAATAAATCTAACAATAATCTATACTAATCTATAAATAATAAAATAATATATTTATGTAAAAAAAAAAAACCCCACAAAAATCCCAATTACCTCTGCAGTGGGGGGAGTTGATGCTGCTGGACCAATAAATAAGTTGGATTTCAACCTACAAAAAACGAAAATTGTGGTATTGTAAACCCAAATCCAAGCAAAAAACAAGTAAAACCAAAAAACAAAAAAAAAAACTGTGCAATGTGCCGACTGTAATCCAAGGAAAATAAATGCAAAAATAAATCAATCAATTGACCGAGAGAGGGGCGAAAACTAACCGGCACCGGCGCGGAGTGGAGAACAGGGGGCGCTATGGAAGAACAGCGACAGCAAGCTTCGTCGGAGAAGGAACCAGATCTACCGCCGCAGAGGGAAATTAAACGCAGAAATGGGGAAGAAAGGCGAGGTGGGGGTGATATGAACCAGTATATTCGACAGCCAAAGCTGCCGAATATACAGACGAAACGATGTCGTTACATAGCATGCTGGGCCTATTATGTTGCAATATATATTCGACAGAAAATTTCTGACGAATAAACACATTCGTCAGACATTTTCTGCCGAATATGTTTATATATTCGACAAAAAAGTTGACGAATATAAACACTAGTCGATTAAGCAACAAGTTTCCATTATCATCGTCAAATTTACATCTTCGTCAATCTTTCTGTCGATTATATACATATTTTCGGCAGAAACATGGCTGTCGAATATAATCTTGTCGCATATGCCGCGTTTTCCAGTAGTG